CAGGGAAAAACGGTTGGAGTTCTGGCTAGCTCACAGCTGATTTGGGCTACCCCGCATTACTGAAATATTTGTAGACATTTTACCTTGAAAACATCTCACCACAGAGTTCTCTGTGACAAAGAAACTCAAATTAGAAAATTTTACCAATTGCAAGGTTCCAAGTGCAGCAGTGTGACAGAAATGCGTGCACTCCCTTGAAATGAGCCTGAGCCTCCTGCTTGCCCCACAGCTGGGACTGACGGACTGAGGATGGACAGAGCTGACAAACAGCCTGTGCCTTTCAGCTGCTTTTGAGCTCCTTTCTCTGGTGATCACTGTAATGACCAGAAAAATGAAATAAAGAAGTTTTTATTTTGCTTTTATCCAGATCACAATTTCTTATTAGAGTTGAACAGATTATTTGGGATACCTTGGGATAGCAGGTGAAAGGCACAGAGAAAGTTCCAGCCTTGCTGCAGATGTGTTCTCTTTCCTTACACACTCTGCTGTCATAATTTCACTTTTAAAAATAAACTGTAATGGCGTAGCTAGTTCCATTACATTTTTTTTTGGGTGAAAGAAACCTTATTTCAAGACCTGGTTTCTGCTCCTCTGTTTGCATCTGCCTTATCCAGAACTCAATTCCCATCAGATATTGACGTGCTGCATTTCCAAGCCTCAGTCATGCCAGATTTACTTTCCCTCACGTCAAGCAGCGTGAAGGTTCAGGTTGGTAATTCTGCAGTGCTGAGAGGACAGGGCAGGCAGGGACCAGTCTGTCAAGCTTCACTTGGAGAATATACCCAGACTACAGTGGGCCAAAGAGCAAGAGGGTTTTTTCCCCTCAAACTGGTGGAAATTATGCCACAGAGCAGCAGTGTTTTGGCAGCTGTGATCCTGTGCTCAAGAATTTTTACACTTTGCCAATTCTGTAGTAAAATAAAATATCTTCAGAGAGGCCTAAGGAGCCACCATCACACAGGGGTGTGTGTCCAGGCAAGCACAGACTCACCCACACACCTCAACCCAGCTCAGAACAAGAGAGCCTAGGTCAGAACCTCTCAGAAACATGAAAAGGAATTCTGAAGATTAAATACTCCTATGCATTACAGCTCACACACAGTGAACAGAGGAGGCATCTTCAAAAAGAAAGTTAACAGCAGGTTGTGGTTAGTTTTTTCCTTTGGTTTCCTTATTCTCCAAACAGGCTATTTTCAGCACACATTAAAAGGCAGAGTATAAATAGGGCAATGTAATTTGGTAGCAGAAAAAAACCACCTTATTGCATATATGATCTCACAAGGTAGCTATTTCAGTGTGTAAAATTAATCTAATAATCATCTTATGTAGCTGAACAATCAGCTAAAGTGTTAAGCTTTAAGTAAAAATAAACTTTTTAGGTGTTGATGAGAACAGGTATCTGCAGTGACAGCAAAGCAAAAGACCCCAAATCCCTGTACAATAGAACCTACCAGAAAAATTAATAACAGTGCAAATGTTTTTCCAGCCAACATGTACAACTCACTGAAGCCACATATTAAGTTAAAATCAGTACTAAAATTCAAGGAAGAGATGGGGACTCCTACAATAAAGCTCATCTGCAATTACAGTGCCAATACAAAATCATTCTACTGCACACCTCTTGTAAACTAAATTCAAGCCAAAGTTTTACACTAGAAATTGCATCCTTTGAAGAAGTCCTCATACAAATGCTACTGGTAAATCACACCTCAAATTCCTGGTTTTGCCAACTGTCACAATATTTGACTAATAACAACTCATGCTTGCTTCCCATAAACAACTTAGCAACAGGGGAAAGAATTGTTGCATTATAGATTACATTTCATCCATGCTATTTTACACAGAAGTAGTTAATTTTTGGGGATGTGATTGGTTTCATTGAGTTTTTTTTTTTTCAAAGTTGTCTTGGCTATACTAACAACTTGTTCTTCATGAGCCATCATATTAAACTAGGAATTGTTTCTTCTGATAATGAACGATAATCTTTCAGGATAGGTTATATTTATATATTATATTTATATATATTTATATTTAAATATATTATACTTATATATTTCAAGTTAAATTTAAATATATTTATTGCTTAGAATTTGTTCAGGAATTTGTTCAGGAATTTGTTCAGGAATTGGGGCAGAATTTGGGCAGAATTTGGGCAGAATTTGGGCAGAATTTTATCTACTGTAATACTTACTTTGTTCAGTAATTTATCTACTGTAATACTTATTTTGTTCAGTAATTTATCTACTGTAATAATTTTATTACTGTAATTTATCTACCAACTGCTGCCCTGAGGCACTTCTAAAACTAAATAGGCGTAAAGAAGCACTTTGAAAACTTTCCCACAAAATTCTGCAGAAGAGTTTGAAATCAATTCCCAAGTTCTCGAAGTGCCATTCCCATTGAGCTCCCTCTCCCATGGATCCAGGGCTCTGTACCTTTGTTTGGGATGAGCTGTTTCCTTGCTTGGCACAACGATGACGTTGGCACTGTCACCCCAGAGAGATGCCTTTGACATTTTGGGAGAGCAAAGAGTGGCTGAGTGACAAAGGAGAGTGGCTGAGTGACAAAGGAGAGTGGCTGAGTGACACCTCCAGCCCAAAGCAGAGGCAATGATCCCTGGGCAGGCTGCCCAAGCTGAGCATGACGCACTCCAGGAGGCTCTGAGATGCTGAATCTTCCTTGAGGAAAGACAAAGGACAGCAGCTGCTGGTCAGAGTGCTTCATTAGCTTTCCTTGGAGGATGCCTAGGGTGAATATTGATAATACCATTGTCATTGATAGCTCACTGAAGGAGAAGCATTTGTACAGAGCATCCAGCACCAACAGTGAGATCATGCATCAAATCAGAGCTAATTACTGTCTGCAGTTTTGGAACAAGAGCTGCATGACTCAGATGAGGAGAGAGAATTCCTCTCTTGCTGCTGATCTCTCTCACAGGGAAGCACAGGCAAAGGGCAATAAAACACATTAGGTTAATTCTGTAGAGAAATTCTTTTGTCATAAACATTCAGTTCAGCAAAGAGAAGTGTGGAGAAAAAGGATTTATAGTACAGCTATTTGTTCAATAGTCAAGGCAAGTCAAACACCAGCCCTCCCTGTGCACAGAAGAGAAGTTTAGGCTGGCAGGACCTCTGCAGGTCCTTTCCCACCTCTCCAACACCCACCTGTGCACTCAGAGCACTGAACACACACCAGGATGCCAAGGACAATTATCAAGCTTAATTTTTAAATTCTGTCCCATTCCATCCTTGGATCTATTCAAACCTGACCAGCCACACTCCTGGACCAGCTGTCCTGGCTGACCCTGCTTGGAGCAGGGGAATTGGAGTATGAGATTCCCAGATTTCCAACCTCAGCCTCTCTCAGAGCCCACTGTGTTTAGCCCACCCATGGCTTGCTCCCCTGAGTTACACCTGCAGCAGAAATATTTCTGTTCTATATGACTGATGCAGCCAGTTTGAAATTAGTGTTAGGAGCCACAGGATGCAAAATATAAAAATTAATCTTCAACAGGAAATGTTAATAAAGGAAAAAGATGGAAAGCAGGGAAGTTCACACCTTTTACAACTTAAACTTATCACAAAATTCAGCAACTTTAGGAACAATTTTAGTAATGCTAGTTGGATTTCATAGTATTTTGAAGAGCATTTGAAGACAAAAGCATTTCAGTAGAGAGGCAGAAAAGTAACACACCATAATTTGTTGCAAAGAGGCATTATCTTCTCACCATTAAAATGAAAGAATATTGCCATAAAATTACCTTTTTTTGTTAATATGACACTGCATAGAGAATGGAGGGGGGGACCAGTCCTTGCTCTGTGACACGATAAATCAGATTGTAAGTAAAGGAGACAAAACAGGCTAGATGGAAGGAAAGAAGGACTAAAGTGATGAGATGACATAAGGCAACTCCTGTGGCAGCATGAGGCAAAAGCAATGGGCAAACAGGGGAAAAACCTTGCTAACACACTCAGAATTAAGTAGTTAGTTCCAACTGAAAGAGAAGATAAGTGAAATGGAAAATGGTCTTCCAGCCTACAGAGGGACCTGTGTTTAACATCAACCAAAGTAGTTTATATGTACCAAGAAGTCTCCAGATGGAAGCTGCACTTGCTCTGCCAAGACAATTCTCTAGGGCACCATTGGATGAGGTCTTCCCAAATAAATAGGTGTGAAATTCTACAAGGGGGAGCAAAACAAATTAAAAAACTGAATTCTCCTAGTATTACCTTTGTAAGTTAACTAGCTTTTTTAACTCCCTTTCTTTTTTACTTTTTTTTTTTCTGGCACAACAAATACAACACAACACATTCATCCATCTCACAAAAGAGAGAGGGAAAAAAAAAGTGCATTTCATATCAGATGCTTTGCGTCAAGACTGCTGAGGCTCATAAATCAGCTGTCTATTGCCCTGGTCATTTCAACCAACGTCTGACCCTTTGTTAACTCATGATTTATAACTGAAAGTTACTTTTTTTTAAATGCCAGATTTATAAACTTTACTGTGCTTGGTTTGATATAATATCCATTTTGTACACCAAGCAATAAGACAGTAAATTTATTGTCTATGAACTGTTACCTTGAAAAATTACATCAATGCAAAGTGGTTTCCATTTAGAATCAATGGGCAATAAATTCATTGGATTTTTTTTTTGAAGGGGGGAGAGAACATGATGGTGTTTATGAGGTCATGAGTGGCTATATAATGGGAGAAACTGGGAGCTGAGGCTGCAGTTAGCCAGGAGTTCTGAGTTCCAGGGTTAGGCACAACAGAACATCCAACACAGCAAGGATGCATAAACTGATACTTTGCTGTCTCATTATCATCTGCTTCTCCTGTCCTCTCTTGTCTCTCCCCATCATCAACGCCAGTGAGATGTCTTATCAACACTCAGGTAAGAGAATTTTGATTTTAATGGTTATCATGGAGTTGGAGCAGGGAAAGCAGCAGTGTGCTTTCCAAGGGGCCTGGATCTGTGCTGCTCAGCTGCAGGAGAAGCAGGACAGCAGCAGCACAAGGGACACAGCAGTGGGTGCTGGTCTTGCACAATGGGGAGGGTGGGTGCCCTAAATAGTTCCCCTGCTGCTTTGAGATCCAGGGAACAAAAGGATGCACTGAGGAGAAAAAGGTATCTGAGCTTTGAATACCAGCACTGAATGTGAACTGGCATTCAGTGTCTGAGCTCTCATGGGCATTGGGTAACTTAAAGAAACTTTGCTGTGCAGTCTCTCCTGTTTCTATTCTTTGAAATAAGCAATTTTGTGTTTAAAAAGGGGAAACCTAGTGCAAACATCAAGAACAGGCAAATCTCTCTTACACTATGTATTGAAAATGCTCTTTGTTTGCACTAATTCAAATTAAGCCCAGGGAAAGAATAAATCTTTGCTTGAGAAAGTGATGCTCAAAGTTTGAAATGGCTCAGAAAAAAATGCACAGCAGAATCTGGAAGGTTTCTCTCATCAGACCTGGCTGGTACTGGAAGACTTTCTGAAATGAGTTCTGAAAGAACAGGCAAACCAACCCAGAAGTTAGTGCATAAAGCTGACTATTAAAAAGTGGCTGTTCTTACCTGCTTTGGAGCAGCTGTTCTGCTGGTTTAGAGGTATCAGCAGTCCCCAGTCTGCTCTGAAAATCTTGGGCTCTCTAAGCCAGCATCTCCTCAAGCCTTCCACAATGTAATTTGCATTTCCAGGTACCCCTGACTCAATATCTGAGTAATATCTGTCACATCATAGCTGGCTCTAGCCATGATTGCATTAGGTTCAAGTCACTGTGCTCAGATCTTCCCTGCTAATGTGAAGAGTCCTGGGAGGGAGAAGACAGAAGAGGAACTGTCTCAAAGAGGGTTGGTTTTGGGTTGGGTTTTTGCTTTTTTAAATCTCATAGCAAATTTACCTGCTAGCAGTGCTCTGATTTAAGGAATAATCCTTGGCCAGAGATGCAGATTGTCTCCACTCAGCACTGGGAATTTTTTGTATTCTTACTTTAAGTCCTATAATGAAATCCCCTCTGTCCTTTGCAAATGTCCTTTTATGCAGTGAATAAACCAATAACAGGCACATCCAAGGTCTTCAAATTCCTGATCTTTATGCAAGTTTTGAAATGTCGGGATATTATTTCAGGTTTTTTTCTTACATGTCCATGTGAGGAGTTACAGTCACATCCATTCCTGCAGGTCAGAGCAACTGGAACTCCATAGGGTCACCTACAAGTGCAATTACAAAATTATATTAATCTACACAAATAGAGTTTGATGATGACAGCCTCTGGTAGCCCACAATTTTGGATGGCTGCTATGTATTAGCAAAGATAAAATTTACTGCTCAGATTACAAAAACCCAAGTTACCTGGAATATTGCACTGCTAAGGGATTCTGTTGGCAACCTGCCTTGGGGCACAGGCTAGCACAGAATTCTGAATTCTTTATGCATAGATAAATTAATTCTATCAGCTATCTATTAATTCACACCAGCAAGCTGTTGTGTTGGAAAAACTGATAACATCTGTACTGGTACACACATTTAATGAGAGATGGCTGAAATGCACCAAGAAGCACAGCTGCCAAAATAAGTTGTGAGTTTTTTTACCTTTCCTTCCACAACTTCTACTGCATTTAGTAATTGCAAAACTGAGGTTAATAGGTCTGAACAGGAAGTTTTGCCTTTATCCATAGGAAAGCTGCAGCATAGGAACTAATTGATAAAGAAATGAACTAAAGTAAAATGTTTAAAATTACATACAAGTCTGGGCTGTGCACTGGAAGGATGAGGTTGAGTACCTCAAGTGACAGGAGGGGCTGCTGCTGTCAAAAACTTTTGTAACAAAACTGCCAGAGAAATGAGAATCTAAGATTAACATCAGGAAGGTTTCTGTTTTCTCAAAGCTTTGGAAGGAAAGGACTACAAAACCAACTATTAGAAGAATTAAATAAGGATGTGTGGTTGGTGCTTTCATGAAAATCTTAAACAGACCTGATGAGAAATCCCCTGAGACAGACTGAAACAGGGATGCAAAGCAAAAGACTCACCCTGTGCCTGTTTCTTGCCTTGGCAGCTGATGAAGACTCGAGGTTAAACCTGGAGAGGTTGGGCAGCTCCTCCCTGCTCCAGCTCCTGCCAGAGCTCCTGGGCACCCTGAGTGAGGACAGCAAAGCAGGTGAGCATTCACACAGCAGTGGGAGTGCCCATGGTGCACACCCCAGCTCCCACAGATATCACACCCCAGCTCCCACAGATATCACACCCCAGCTCCCACAGATATCACACCCCAGCTCCCACAGATATCACACCCCAGCTCCCAGCTGTTTGTAAAATACAATGTTATGTATAAGTAACAGCTGTCAATGAGTTCAGTGGAATTTTGGGGAAGCTGCTGAGTAGCCATGCCTGCAGCTCAACATCACCTCAAAATCTCCAAATGAGTGCTGCAAAACTTCCAGACAGCAAAACCAGAGCAAGGAGAGGATTGGCCTAAGAGGAGCTGGCAGGCAAAGAAAATAGCAGTCTTAGAAAACATCAATATTTGCAGAAATTGCAGAATCAGTGGCTTGGGAAACAATAATGTTACCCTTGAATATTCCATTCAAAGACCTCTGTCTGCTGTAGCATTTTGGCACATGAGAATTATTTGCCTAATTCATGACTTCTAAATGCTGAAACATTTCATTGTGTCTCCCCTTTAACAGGTCTTACCCCCAGCAACTACAACCCAGGGGAAAATATCAAAGAGGTAAGTAAATAACCATCTGCCACTGAAACAAGAAAAATAAGACTAAACTACATAGAATTGTTACCAAGAAATCATTTCAGATCAACAGACTTCACAAACAGTTCAGACTAAAGTAGTGTGCCACGGTGTTCTTGAGGCTGGAATCACTTAGCAGTTAGACAGGCAAGGGAGAGGGGGGAAATGGAAAAAAAAAAAAGAGAGCAAGCAATCTAGATTTAAAAAAAGTGGAGGGCTTAGAATTAAGGGGTTTTTTTTTTGATGTGTGTTTGTTTGGTTTTTTTTTTTGTTGTTGTTGTTGTTGTTTTGTTTTTGGTTTTTTTTCCCCCCTCTAAGTAAAGGCCAATTTCCAGCTTCATCAGCCCAGGCACCAGTATTTGCACCACCACCACCCCCAGCACAGGTTCCAGTATAATCAGCTTTGTTATGAACCATTATGTACATAGAGAACATCATCCCTGTTCCCTTCCTGCTGAATTAAACATAAATGCAGAGAACAGGGCTGAGTTTTAGTGGCACATGCAAAGCAGAGGTTTCCCAGGGCAGTCCCTTTTTCCCCCAGTGGGAGCACAGGGTGCTCAGGGAGGGTGGAGGATGGACTTTCCCACTGGGAACCACCCCCATAACCTCCCCAGTGCTGTTTGATTTCAGAATTTCTACAGGAACCACCCTCAAAATGCTTTCCTGGGCCGCCTCCTGACCAAGGACAGGAAACAGTACAAGAAACGTGGGAATCTTTCTGAGTGCTTCTGGAAATATTGTGTGTAAACAGGGAACTCCCTGACTGGCTGCATAATTTATACAGATGGCTGAAAACGTGTATATAGATGAGCTTGATTCAAAATGGGAATGAAGAACCACGAAGGCAGCACCTAACTTTAGACTCTCTGCTACTTGGAAATAAATAAATTCTTGATGTTTTGCAATTATGTTGTGAGCAATGTAGTATTTTTTTTAGATCTCAGCACAACAGGAAGGAAGTGACAAATACACAACACAAAGAGAACTTGGGCAGGGGAAGCAAAATTCCCATGGGGTTCTGTGAAAACTCCCAGAAGAGCTCAACTGTGTCCAAGTCCAGAGGCAAAGGGAATTTCTCCTTTGTCATTTGATGTAGATTGGGGTGCCAGGAAGAAGTTCAGCAGGTAAGGGATGGCAGCTAAACAATGCCCACTCCCCTCCTGCCATGCCCAAGGCACCACAAAACCAATCAGCAGTGTCAGATCAGGCATCTGCTCCCCCTGCTGCTGGAGGTTATTGTTTCTCTCTATCATTTGTACAAAGACCCACAAATTATTCCTCTGTCCAGCCCTCAGTTACTCATGACAGACTGCCTGTGCATACCATGGGTTTGAAGAATTGCGTGTGATTATTATTTATACAAGCACAATATGGAAGGTAAATGTGGTTGTCATTCAAGATTTTACCCCCAGATTTGGACAATCAGTGGAGGCAGGAATGACAGACACCCTGTGAAAGATTCCTGCACACACAGGTGCAGGAAGGTGATCCATGGGCAGAGATAATAATCTGTGTTTCCTGGGCAAGCCTCCTTGGACACTCAAGGTGCCACTCACTGATAATGTTGTTTTATCTTGGCATGTAACATAAATAAAGGAGAGGACAAAATAAAAAGCTACAAAAATCTCCTAGCCTGACTCTTCCACATGCAGAGTACTTACAGACTCCAGTCCTGGGTACCTTCTGATAGTAACTGCAAGAAACTGAGCTAAACAGGCAGGAATTGTCTCTGGGGATGCCATTTTTGATAATATCCACAAGCTGTCTGAGCTGGGAACCCCTGCTCAATACATACATTGCATAAACCCCACTCCAGTCAGGGCTCACAGAAAGCTTGAGATAAACACCTAACAGTGATACACAGCTACACTGATCTCAAGGGCACACATCATAAATCTCTGACTGTGTTGTTTAAACAAAGCCTACAGGTTTAAAACAGCTTGCTCACTTCACATAAATTGTAAGATAGATGATGCCAGCTGTAACAGAGAAAAATGTCCTCAAAGTCAGAGCAGCAGGATGCCCTGTGCTGCTATTTGAAATCTTTTAAACTCATCCTTATTTTTAAATCTTTTAAATTCATCCTTCTCTTACACAGTGGAGCAAGTCAGTGGCTCTCTGGAAATTACTCCTTTTCTGCTACTATAAACTTCTCAGAAAAGATTTAAATTTATCTAAATGAATAATGAGCTAAAACAGACATAGACAGGAAGAAATGTACAGCCTAAAAAGACCGGGGGGAAAAAATATTTTCAAAAACTGCAAGCATAAAGCTAAATAAATAAAACCAGAGTGAATGATAACAGAAAAGATATTGCAAATATTAAAAAGTTCACTGGCCATCTACCTGAGAGAGGAAGGAACTGAAGAGCTGTCAAGTGTTGAAGATGGGGTCAAGACAAGGTAATTGATCTATAAATAGTGAAAGGTTAGCTTTTAAAAATACAAAATACTTGCTAACATTTATGGCATCTAAAGAAGCAATACCAAATCAATTTATTATTCCAGCTAGGCCAGCTCACAGCAGCAGGGGCTGAGGGGGAATTCAGCTAATTCTAATATACCAGAATTTCATCAGAGCCTGAAACTCTGGAGTTCAGAGTGTCTTTGGACACCACTGGTGGCTCTCAAGAGAACTGTTTGAGACACTCTGGAGCACCCAAGTGCTTCCTTCCCAAAGGACTTTCCTGGCAGATGCCAGATAAACTCAGGCCCAGGTCTGAGAGCAGAGCCTGGCCAGGGAGGGCTGTGGTATTTTCTGGGACCCCCACTGAAGGGAGGAAATCAATCTGACTCCATGTTCTTAGAAGGCTAATTAATTATTTTATGATCAATATTATATTAAAGAATACTACACTAAAGAATACAGAAAGGATACTTACAGAAGGCCAAAAGATAATAATGAAAAACTGGTGACTCTCTCCAGAGCCTCAACACAGCTGGCTGTGGTTGGTTATTAAGTTAAAACAATTCACATGTTGGATAAACAATCTCCAAACCCCATTCCAAAGCAGCAAAACACAGGAGAAGCAAATGAGATAACATTGTTTTCCTTTGTCTCTGAGGCTTCTCAGCTTCCCAGGAGAGAAATCCTGGGCAAAGAGATTTTCCAGAAAATGTGACAGGGACAGGAGGGCAAACTGCCCTTCTCCCCCATCCTGTGACACCCAGCTCCTGCCAGCTGTCAGCTCAGAGCTCCCCCTCTCTGCTGCAGGGCACAGACAGGGCTGGGACTGGCACAGACAATTCCTGAGTCTGGAAGGCAGTTTTGCCTTTCCATGGGAAGGAGCAGCTGGGGAAGTCAGCCAGGAGCATTCTGAGCCCACGGGCAGAAGGAGCAGAGGCCAAACTGGAGCTGCAGCTGGGAGCCAAGCAGGCAGAGCTCCCAGGAATGTGTGATGGATACCCTGACAGGGACCAGGCTGCTCTGAAGCAAATCTGCTACAGAAAATACAGACCCATTACTTCTGAGAATGGGATGATGAAACATCTCAGGTCCAATTTCTCACCATCTGCCAAAAATACAGCAGTACATGGTGCAGCTCACCTCTGACATCCACACAAATGTGTAACTGCAGGTTCTCAGCTGTGAGCCAGGACTTGAGCTGGCAGGAGGATAATTGCTACTGAGAATCAGAAATGTGGATAGGCTGAGAGAGCCCAGGATCTCTGAATAAAAACACAGATCCAAGCCTGAACGTTTTTCATTTCACAAGCCATTTCATCTATCCTCATTTTTTGGAATAGATAGATAATTTAACTCAGTTTTAAGAATGCTTAAATTGACCAAATAACCCTTTAAAAAAATCAATAAACCCTCAGCAATGATACATCTAATGTTACTTTCAAGATGCCTGTATTTCAAGGCACTGCATCACTTACCTCATCAGAAGCTGTTCAGTTATGTACTCATCTAAGATTACTGCTTTCTTTTCCAATTTCAGTATGATGCTACTTTTGTTCTGTACCTTGTACTCCCTGCAGTGATTCTGCCTTTCTCCTGCAGGCTTCTTTCAGCACTATCAATCACATCTATCTCTCTGTTATGTCCCTTAAAGCAGAAAAAGATGAACAAGTTGTTGCTCTGCAATTACTTAAGAACTTCCTTCTCTATGAGCCATGTCCATGAAATAAACCTTTCATTTTTTTTTCTCTGTACTTCCTCTAGAACAAAAACTTTTCAGAAAAATCACACAGACAGAAGCTTTAAGTCCTGCATGCCAAATCCCAGCAGTTCAGAAACACAGATTTAACATTTCACACACAAGAAGTCCTTGCCCTTGTGGGATGCAGAAAAGAAAGAGCATATCCTGGAGCTGGCAAGGTGGAGTGTGACTGAAAAAACCAAACAACCACAAAACCTCTCAACAAAACTGCATTAATTGCCACAACATGGCCATTTTCACTCTACCCCAACCAATGTACAAGCAAAAAAGGTATTGAGGGTTCTGCTGAAAGTATTTTCTACACATTGCCAAAAGCAAAACAAACACACATTTCAACAGTTCTTTGCAGTATATTTTTCAGTTTTATTTATAAAATCAGATGCTCCTTTAAAGTGTACAGTTAAAATCACAACTGTAAATTCAACCACAGCTGAATATTGTTTCAATAAAATACTCCTACCAACTGATGTAAAAATTCATTCAATTGTGATTCAAAACTGGATTCAGCTGGAAGATAAACTTACCAATACATTACTCATTCAGCAAGTATTTACCACACTGTAAAAATACATGAGGGTCCCTTCTGTTCATAGCAATGCCATGAAAATATCTGCACAACAACTCATCTTTTAAAAACATAATTCTACATTTATGAATACAACAACAACAACAACAAAAAAAAGATTGCCAGCGAAATCCTCTGAGGGTTTCCAAACTGCTGACACCCCCACAGGGGGCAGTAACTGCATCAGTGCTGTACCAGCATGTTTTCCCTCTGACCACTAAAAAAGTGATTTTTCCAAGCAGCTCTAAACTGTCTGCAACATTTTGCCAGGCAAAACAAAGCCACAGAAACAAAACAGCAGGTGCAAATCCAGCTGCAACACTCCCTCCACTGGCCTTTCTGATCAGAAGTGCATCTTGCTGTGATCGCTCCAGCACACGACAGAGACTGAAAGATGAGAACAAGCTGAAGTAAAAACTGCCAGTTCCTGAAAACTTATGGAAATGAGGTCAAAGGCTTGATAAGGCATTTCATTGCAAGATGAAGTTGTGGTTCTAGCAGGGTAAAGAGTACCTTGGGAAAGTTTGGGGGTTTTTTATACTCAGGGGATAAAACCTGCTGAGTTTGCAGCCAAGACCATTTGATTTTTGGGCAAATAATTGTCCTATCACACAGGGCACTGATTCATCTGTTCACTCCTCTGACATTATTCTCCTACACTATAATTTTTCCATAACCCAGGAAATGTGTAGCCCCAGAGAAGGGATCCTGCATTTAAGATTTAGCCAGGATTACAAACTTGGAATTCAAACTCCTAGGCACATGAATTTTCATTATATATGGCCAGAGGCTCTGTGGGATTCACAGCAATTCAAAAACTCTCTGGGCTGTTGCTCAATGATTCTATGGGCACAAATTCACAGCAGCAGGGGTACAAGAAAGGTTAACATCTCCAAACAAGAAACACAGGTAACATGATCAGGTTTCTACATACAGACTCTGGATCACTTGTAGCAAAGACAGCACAGGATACAGCAAGTGAAGACTCCCAGATTTTACTCCTGACTTTGGAATAAACTGTGGGTTTGCAGCTTTGTGTCTCTGCCTTTTTTTATACAGCTGGGATAATAAAAGTCATCTTTTTGACATGTTCATGGACCTATGGATCAAAAGCATTATTCAAGTGTTAGGTACATATTGCCATTCCCCTGAACTGTCTCACTGTTTTACAAAA